GACCCAGTCCTATTTTCTCCTTCCTTGTCCTTCAGTCTCCTACCATTTACGTTCTCTCTCTGCCATGCCATTTTCCTTCAGGTCTCCTCAATTTCTTTCTGCATCCCACATTTCCCTGTACACCATCCCACACTTTGTCTAAGCTAGTCTGAAAAGTGTCTGGTTGTAACACTTTTGGTAATGCATTCTCCATTAAATGTTTTAAGAATCTAATGTAGGCATAGTAATGTATTCTTTAAAAAAAACGCAAAACTACCTGGATAAAATAAAGGCCATGGAGAGAGAACTGAGACTTACTCAACCCAGGTGTTGAGCCAATATGCAGTGCCAAAAGTAGAACAGGTAGCTTCTGTGTCTGGCATGCAACAGATCAAAGAGCAGACAGGTGACACAGCAGCAGGTTGAGCAGAAAACAGAAAGCAGAGCAGCAGATTGGGCAGGGGAAGGGGAAGGGGAAGGGAATCAGAGCGGCACTTCAGGAGGTGTAATTTGGCGCCAAAAAAGTGGCACCCCACTGACTTAGCCAGTTCAATCTATGTTGAAAACAGGTTGCCTTGTCTACACTAAACTCTGAAAACTTGTTGGCTAATATGAGTTGCTAAGATGTTCAACAATACACCTTTCATTCAGGCCTAGACAAAGTCTCCAGTGACCTTCTGCACTAAATATTTTCCCCATGCTACATAGTTCTTTGCACCAAGCCCCTCTGCCTCTTTTCTGTTTTCCATATTTCCCTGCATGCTTTCCATCTCCCTCTTCCTCTTCTACATTCCTCCATCTTCTCACAGTTCCCTTACCATTTCCTAACAAGTTTCCCATCCTGACTTCCCTCAAAGCCTCATTTCTGGCACCTCCAGTCTTTAGGGTTCTGCATTGACCTCCCAAAGGGGTCACCTCCCAAAGGCTTCCAGTGGGTCACCCTTTGTACCCACTGGAAACAATAGGATCCTAGCTATTCTCTGCAAAGGAGATATGATGGTTATGTTGCTGAGGGAGCATCCTATGACTTCAGTGTCCTATTGACAATGATGAGAGAGAGTGGTAGGTGGTCTGAGTGGTTGACTCATTCCAGGGACTCTTGAAAACTTGGCTTAAAAGCATTTTTTTTTAAATCAAATCACTTTCCAAGGACAAGTCACTTCACTTTTGCTTGGAACTGGTGCTAAATTCACTTGGAGAAAGTAACTGTGGTTGGACAGCCTGAAGGGACTAGATGAGACCATACAATTATTTTCATAGAGATTTGGTTTCCTAAAAAATTGACAGGGCAGTCAACTGTCAAATCAGAAAAATCATATTCCCAGCCAAACACAGAATAGCTCAGACCTATAAATGGTGTAAATTGGCACAGGCTTACTGAAATCAAGAGACCTACACCAATTCCCACCCCGGATATGATCCTCTATGAGAAACATGGAAAACTTAAAGTATAATTTTCTGCTAAAAAACCCCAGCAAAAAAAAAAAAAAAAAAAATCACAAAAACTTCCCCATCAGAATATTCTCTGGTTAACAACTCATAAGCCATGAACAAGGGGTTGGTAAGCCATAAACAAGGCACCAGACCACACCAGGTAAGTAATAAAGGGAACACATGCCATCAAGACACAGGAGCACCAAGAGCCCCCTTTGGGGGACTAAAATGTCTTTATACAAACGCCAGAAGTATGGGGAACAAGCAGGAGGAGCTCACACTCTTGCTTGCTAGCACCCAGTATGACATAGTCGGACTAACCGACACATGGTGGGGTTCTACAGAGTGGGGAAAAAAAGGTGGGGGGGTAGCACTCTATGTTAAGGAGCAGTATATGTCTTCCACCATTAAGGTGGGGGTGGAGGAGGGGAACACCAAGGCATTGTGGGTCAGGATCCAGGCGGGGCCAGGGAAAGGGACTTGGTTGTGGGGGGGTCTACTACAGGTCTCCTCATCAGGATCAAGAGCTAGACAATGTATTCTCCGGGCAGCTAGCAGACGCCACAAAGGCGAGGGAGGCGGTGGTCATGGGAGATCTAAACTACCCAGATATCTGCTGGGAGGAGCAGACAGCCAAAACAAGCTGCTCATGGAGGTCCTTACACTGTGTGCAGGATCTCCACATAACCCAGGTGGTGTCTAGTCCCACCAGGGGTAGCGCCTTGCTTGACCTAGTCTTAGCAACAGGGGACGATCTCGTGGGGAACATGCGAGTTCATGGTAGCCTGGGAGATAGTGACCATCACTTGGTCAAGTTCACTATCCAGCGAAGGGTGGGTAAAGTAACTAGTGGGGCTAAGCTGTTGGACTTCAGAAGGGCCAACTTCAGCAAGCATAGAAGGCTAGTTAGTGAGGGGATGCAACTCAAGAACATACAACATATGGGGGTCCAGGAAGGTTGGAGGTATCTCAAGGGAGTGATCCCCAAGGATATGTGCCCAGCAAGGTTTAAAATCAAAATGAGGAAGGCCTCCTACAGGTAGAAGGAGGCAGCCTCCCGGCCAGTGTGCTCAGCTGGCTGCAAACCCCCGCCACTCCTGGCCAGCTACAAACCTCCCCTCTCCCGGCCAGAGTGCCTGGCCAGCTACAAACCTCCCCTCTCCCGGCCAGAATGCCTGGCCAGCTGCAAACCCTAGCTCATAAACCCTGTGCTCCCTGCCCTGCTGCCCTCCCCCAGGCCCTCCGGAGCACAGCGTGTGTGACTGGCACAGCAGGTCACAGTGGGGCGACGCACAAAAGCTGGCTGCTGTTGCAAGCTCCACGCTGCCCTGGCCATAACTTCTGTGTGCACAGGGGCAGTGCAGAGTTGTGCCCCTTGTTGCTGCCCCCACCTGCAGAGGAAGAATGGCCAGGGCAGCATGGAGCTCGCAGTGGCAGGCAGCTTTTGTGCACATCCCCCCTGTGCGCTGCCACACTAGGTTACACACGCTGCACTCCGGAGCACCTGGGGGAGGGCATCAGGGTGGAGAGCATGAGGCCGCAGCATGCCCCCCCCCCGGGAAACCAGCACGGGTTTGTCACGGGTAGATCCTGCCTAACAAACCTTATAGCCTTCTTTGACCAGGTCACACACTGCCTGGACGCAGGAGCCGAGGCTGATGTCATCTTCCTGGACTTTAGGAAGGCCTTTGACACAGTTTCACACCTTATCCTCACTGGGAAGCTAGCAGACTGTGGAGTGGACACCTACACGGTCAGGTGGGTGGCCAACTGGCTTAGGGACTGCACCCAGAGAGTAGTAGTGGATGGTTCCTTCTCGGTCTGGAGGGAGGTGGGCAGTGGGGTCCCGCAGGGTTCGGTCCTCGGACAGATATGATTTAATATCTTCATCAGCAATTTGGACAAGGGCGTGGAGAGCATTCTCTCCAAGTTCGCTGATAATACCAAGTTATGGGGCAAAGTTAGTACACTGGGAGGGCAGGGAGCAGGTTCAGACTGACCTGCACAGGTTGGATCAATGGGCAGAGAGAAATAGGATACAATTTAATAAAGAAAAAAGTAAGGTACTCCACCTGGGAAGGAGGAACCCCCAGCACACCTACAGGTTAGGGAGTGTCCTTCTCAGCAGCTCGGAGGCAAAGAAGGATCTTGGAGTCATAACTGACTCCAAGATGAACATGAGCCGGCAGTGTAACGAGGCCATCAACAAGGCCAATTGCACCTTGTCATGCATTAGCAGGTGCATGACTAATAGAACAAAGGAGGTGATGCTCCCCCTCTATGCGGCACTGGTCAGGCTGCAGTTGGAGTACCGTGTCCAGTTTTGGGCACCGCACTTCAAGAGGGACGCAGAGAATCTGGAGAGGGTCCAGAGGAGGGCCACTCACATGATTAGTGGCCTTTGTGATAGACCCTATGGGGGGAGGTTGAGTGAGCTGAATCTCTTCAGGCTTCACAAGAGATGGCTGAGGGCAGATCTTGTGGCCACCTATAAATTTATTAGGGGAGGTCAACGAGGAATAAGGGAAACGCTGTTTACTAAGGTGCCCCAGGGAGTGACTAGGAATAATGGGTGTAAACTACTTGAGAGTGAATTTAGATTAGATATTAGGAAGAAATTTTTCACAGTGAGGGTGGCCAGGATCTGGAATGGGCTTCCAAGAGAGGTGGTGCTATCACCTAGCTTGAAGGTCTTCAAGAGGAGGCTGAATAGTCACCTGGCTGGGGTCATCTGACCTCGGTCCTCTTTCCTGTCAGGAGCAGGGGGTCGGACACGATGATCCATTGTGGTCCCTTCCGACTCTACAATCTATGAATCTATGACTGCTTTGATTAATTTCCAGCACAAAGAGGCATCTTTAAAGATATACAGCAGATACCGGAAATGTTGCCTGGAAGTTTGTTTTTTTTTTTTGTTTTTTTTTACTGAGACATGCATGTTTTAAGCTTTTTTGGTTTTCCATTAGATGGTGCTTCTTGAGGAAAATACATTGCATATTTCTCTCTTAATCTCTTTAGAAATCACTTTGCAATGGAAACAATCATTATAAAAGCCATTGATGTGAAAAGCTAGTCCCATTATTAGACTCTTGTCTCTGTGATACAACAGATATTGATTATACAAGTTATTTACATCTTGAAGCTGTTCTGACATCATTGAAAAGAACAGAACTACTCTGGACCATCAGCAGTCACTCTGACCAAAGGGAGAAAAACAACCAAATATGGGAAGACTATAAGTAATATTGCAGACTCTTGAACACATAAAATAAATGTTGTATCCCACTAGATTTTGTCCAGCTGCAAGACTTGGATATCAAGGAAAAATCCTGCTGATTAACATATTTAATGTATGCTAACAGAAGTTTTGCTACTGTAAGGTAACTGCAGTCCTGAAGACAGCCAGGGTTTTATCTCCAACATATTTTTTTATCTAAAATACAAAGCTACTATTTTCAGCATATTATATCTTAATGTAAAAATTGAAAAAAACCCTAAAAAACTTTTAAACAAATGTACTGCTTAAAAAGATGTAATTTGCAAAAATTAGTCACCAGCTTATTATGAAATAGCTAAAAAGCACTTACCTCTTCTTGCTTGGGAATGCTAAATTTTGCAATCTTAGACTTGGTTCTAGTTGAGTCAGGTTTATTAGAAGGAACTCCCCTATATGATGTACAGTGCTTGTTAGTTTCTGCAGATAATTTTAGCTTTGGGGATTCATCAGGAGCCTGATCTTGTCCATCCATTGGCCTTACATAAGCTGTTGGTTTCTGCTGCACTATAGTGGGCTTTGAAGCAAGTGAAGGAGGAAAGTTTTGAACACAATGCCCAGTGGTATGTTTTGTTGGCCTTTCTTGAGCCTGAGGTCCAACTTCTGCATTGCAACTTATTTTTGACTGCTGTTGCACTCTGCTGACACTGTCTCCAAGTGTGGATCTTAAAGTACCTGGTTGTGTAGCATTGGAGGCAGAGGATGTTGGACTTGATGCATAGTGTTTTAGCTTTTCTAGACTGGATTTTTGGTTAGTAATTTTGAAGTCACTGTTGTGTGACTCAAGTAATCTGTGGCCATGCTTGCTTGTCCTCTGCTGGCCATCAGAAGCATTTTGCCCAACTTTTTGCCAACCCATTGTGGTGCTCTTGTTCTGTCCACATAATGCTGCTGGTATGGAGGATGAAGTGCTGATGGAAGGCTGGGACTGTGGTCTTGAGTCTGTAATGAAATGTTCATCTGCTTTAGCTACAGATGCCTGTGGGATCCCTGGTTTTGGAACCCCAACAAGGTGGCTCTGGTTGGATCGATCAGTCAGTAAATCTTTCATTTCATCATAGTTGCCTAATGTATTCTGGATGCGATTTGAGAGCTCATCCCCCTTATTAGTCTGCAAAACAAAAACATGAAATATTCTGTAACAATTAAATCAAGATAAAACAATACATGCTACTGCTTCAGTAAGGATTTCTGCTGCATTGTCTCATTCAGCAACACAGTTGAGGGATGAAATAGAAAATCTGTATCGTCACCAAAGACACTTGTCAACATCTTAAATCTACCCTGAACTGGAAAAGCTATAAAGGGCCTTAGAGTATATAAAAAAGAAATCTATCACTGGTATTGCACTATAGTTAAAATATATTACCTGGAAACTAGAAAATGTATTATTGCAACTACACAGAATGGTTTGGATTAAATCTGACCATGATAAACTTCCCATGTAGCCCACTGTAAACTTCTCTTTCAAGGAAGGCTGAAGGAAAATACACCATTCTTAATTTCCTCCTGTACATTATCAATACACAACTGTACACTGCAGCACAGTAAGGCCATGCATAGCTGGACTAAGGACTGAATTCATCAGTCTAAGCCAGGGGTGTCCAACCTTTTTGAATGTGGAGCCATATTCAAACACCTCACAGGATGCGGTATCACATCAGGAAGTGATGTCATGTGACCTTTGACACCCATGAAGTTGCAGGAAGTAACAATGAAACAGGCCTAACCAGTTCAAAACTCTCCCTCTATAGCATCCACCTCTGCCACTGTTCGGGACAGGATACTGAGCTGGATGGACCATTGGGCTGACCAAGCATGGCACTTTTTATGCTCTTATGTTCTTTGGCTGAGCTTCCAAACTACGGCTGAGATTTGCAAAAAGGGGTAGATAGGCATGTTACAAAGTTGTCATAAAAGATTTGGAGCCCTCTAAATCCCATTCATTTTAATGGAAGTTGCCTTTTGACTCAGCTTTGAAAATCTCAGCCCAAGGTGCCAACCAAATAAGTCAAAATATATTTTGCATTTCTATGCAGCGCATCTATGTGGGGCTCTCCAAGCATTTTACAAACATTAAATGAACCTCAGGACATCCCTGATTTTCAGAAGAAATGTGGTGGTGAGGACATTCTGGGAACATCTCTCACTCTCTGTGTGTGATCTGCTTCTACTGTCCTTGGACTACCCTAGAAGGGCCCTCACTGCCTCATTTCGAGTTCAGAGCAGGTAAAAGTATAAGTGGGTAGGAAGGGCTTATTTTTTGGCAGCAGGTTTGAGTGGCTTGAAGCTAGTGAAGATGTACCCACAATTAGTCACTGACCAGAGTGGGAACACAGTTGTCCTCACTTGTTAACATAGCTCTAAGGCCCTGCATGGTCTCTGCCTACATGTTGCTCTCATGTCCTCTTGCTTTCCTAAATCTCATGAGAGTAGAGGATTCCCATCATGCCTATTGGACTGCCATCACTGGATAGCTGTCCTGGTTCTAAGGTTGTGCTTCTGACTCTTTCGTGTCCTCTTTTACGGTGCACACTTAGAACTCCGGCTTTTCTTTCCCGCCCATTTTGCTAAACTGTGATTATTCCCATGGGGCATGAATTTAGTTCAGTGGCTATGATTCTGCTCTCTCATACAGAGGCAATGACTCTCATAAAGTACGGCATATTTTAGTAGGATACAAACATTTTGAAAGCCACACAGAAAGCAATAAGCAGTTTTTAGTCACATGAGCTTACCAGGTATCAACCACCTGCTACTTGGGTTCCTG